AACCACACATTCAAACAATAAAATATTTTGCATAAAAATTCAAAACGTTTCCGTACTTTCAATTTAAATTTTTAAAAAAAAAAAAAAAAAGTCGCATTTTAGACATTCTCAAGAGATTTTATTTTTTTAATAAAAAGTATCTTATGTATAAAAGAAATTATCTTTATATATTGAGAGTACAAATTTTTTTTATAATTTCCAATAATATTCTCTATTTGGGCTCTTCATTTTTTTTAAGAAAAATTTATTGATTCCTTTTTATATTTTATTCAATACATTTTTTCATATGTCAATGAGAGCATTTTCAAGAAAATCTATTTTTAAAGAGTATATTTTACAATTTAGAGAGTATTTATAAATTTAGAAACAAAAAATTTTAACACTTAATTTTACCATTCCCAAAAAAATATTTATTATTTCTCCATATCAATCATTTTAACTAGCTTTCATCAAGATTATTATATTATTTTCTTTCCTTGAAAATTGAAATATTTTAAATGCATTTAATTATAAAGAGTTGGAGAGTCAAACCCACTATCTATTTTAAAATATTAATTCAAAAAGTCATTTGGAGCATATTTTAAAAGTTGGACTTTTTAAAATAGAGATCATTTTATGTTTGAAGAGCTCTTGGAGATACTTCGACAATCAATTCAAATTTAATTTGAATAATTTAATAAATAGAGTAAAAACTTGTAACTTATTAATAATTGTCTTAAAGCATAGTAGTCAAACTCGACCTGAACATTGACTCGAAGAATACAGTGGATTAATGGGTTAGTGGTTCAATCGGCGACCCGGTGGTTAGATCGTTGATCAATTCCTGTCAAACATATTATTAACTATTTTCATTGTATAGTAAAATTATAACATTTTTACCACCAACTAGATTAACCATATGTAATATTGGAGACTAAAGATCAATCTGTATAACAAAATTCAAAAAAAGATGAATCATATAGAACAAATTTCCAACTTTGTGATCAAAGATGAATCATATGCAACAAATTTCCACCTTGGTTCAGCTTCAACATTCAAAACCCCATCATTAACTAAGTCTAGGCAATAATGATTATTCGCTGGTTTAGTCTTTACTTAACTATTATATCAAGTAACTTATAGAAGCACTTGGCATATATATATATTGAAGCAATCTATTTTTGCATTTCCTTATTACATAGAAAACAGTGCTAAAAATGCTCTGTAGGCCAAATTTTCAAGAGAGGAAAGTCCCTCAACATCTTTGTTTATACATTAAGGTACTTGTCACTCTGTTTGGATTTTTACTTCACCTTGAGTGTGATAATCAGACTGTTCTACACTTTCACTTGTGTGTCTTATCCATACGTGCCAAAGTAAAATTTGATTGGTAGAAATAGCTGCAGGGTGTTACCTGGCAATGCTTCTTGTCCATTCCCCATCCAGTGCTTTGAACATATAACCAAAAACCTCTAACATTCCTGGTGGACTAAATAGTTTCCATAAAGCATTGTATATGTTAGACTAGCTTAAGTTTTGGTTCTATATTATTATATTGTAATTTCAATAGCAATATCAGGCAAATTGTCAGTAATTAGATGTAGTAATGCTACTTGCAGCAACAAGAAAATTGCCAGGCCATTCTAACTCACTGTTGTAACTTTATTACTTGAAGCTGTAATAAATTCAGACTTACATGTTCTTCTTCCATCTAATACCACTTGAAATTAAAGTCTTCGATTCTTGGAGAACTGTGGGAGACATTTAGCAGGAGATGAAGATAAGGGTTTTCAATTTTTCACAGAGGGTGAAATTTTGGGCTTTGTATACAAGATCTTCGGCTCGGCCGGTTCACTTACAATTGGGCCAACAATTTTTCGCAAAATCGGAAGGTTCAGCGGGTTAAGAACGAGTTAATTGCATCTTGCTATAAATGAGTCATCCGGATCGGACCGGACCGGACCTGACCTGGTCTCAGTTCTCCAGTTTCCAATCTGAACCGACCTGTCCGGTTTGGGTCTTTTAACACTGTTTTAAAGTAAGAATAGAGAATTCGAAGAGTCGAATACACTTTCTAATTCATAAAGACGGTAAAGAAAGACTCTTCCAACTTATTTTAAGCATTGAATATATATACACACATTTTCATTTCTATTCTTTTCAATCGCACATTTTTCAGTAAAATAATATTACAAACAATCCAAAAAAATTTCTTTCATTTTCAACTACAAATCAATCTACTATTTCAAAATACATTTTACACAAATAATGGGGCTCAAATAGACACTAGATATTCTAATGTAAAATCTAAGATCTGATGAAATGTTTTACCCATGTGATAATTATATTAAGTGAGAGTCCCATGTGACGGTACATGGTCACCAAAGAAAGGTAAATAATTATAATAAATATTAAGATGGTTAAATTATTAGAAAATTTGACAGTAATTATGTTTCGTAATGATTATTACAGGAATGATTCTATTTGCTTTCTGCTGCCATTGTCCTGAAATTTCCGAGTACATTTGCAAATTGAACAATACCAAGTGTATATTCTTTGATTTACATATTTGTGTACATTTCATTGAAGTTCAAGAAGTGTTGAGTGAGAAAGTTTATTTTTTTTGCAAAACTGTCCAAACATGTGTTATCACATGATACAATATCAAAAATGAGACTGCTCTTTAGAGTTTACAAAGCTCAAATATTATATTAAGACTTGAAATTTCAAATTAAAGGTAATGTATACCATCATATGTGAGCTATATTTTGATAAGGGAACAATATTTATTTAAGGTGTTTGAAAGATACAATTTCAAACTTAAAGAAATTTGTTTTAGAATTTCAAAGATTAGGTCATAATTAAATAGATAAATAAAATATTATATTAATTATATATATTAAGGGCACAATATTATATAATTTATGGGCATAGTTACGTACTAGTCAAAATCAAGAACATCACAATCACAAATTTTATAAGCTATAACTTATTTATTGGATACAAATTATCAAACTAATTGGCCATGCATTATTATTTGATCACAAATCATAAATTTTATATGTCACAATTTATTTATCAATAAAAAATTATTAAATTAATAGGTCATGCATTATTTTTCGATTACAAATCACAAATTTTATATATCATCACAATCACAAATTATCAAATTAATTGATTACAACTTAACAAATTTTAAGTGACGATTACAAATTTAGTCACAATCTCACATTTTTTATTGATCACAATCTCAAATAATTGATTACAAATACTCTTTATCCCCACTCGATGTAACCCCAGCTCAACTCAACCTAACCTCAATTCACCCCTAACACCAAACGAATGTTGCAGCACCCGCACCACCACCATTTGTTACCACTATTAGAACCACCATCATCATCGCCAACATCACAAACACCTGCACTACCGTGCCAGCACTACAATCATCATACAACCACAACCACTACCACTACCTCACCTTCGTCGTCGCACCATCACCACCACTTGTAAATCACCAACAACCATCGACAAAAACTACCCAAAATTCAGGCTAAGCAATAGCTCGAAGGAGGAAGAAACCACCCCCAAAACCATTGCCATTGTGCAGCATAGTTCGCACCACTGTGAGCATTGTTGTAACAACGCTTGCCAATGGTCTTTCGATAGTCTTCGACAATGATCTTCCGTGTGTGATAAAGAGAGGAGAAAAGGGGGATGATAGAGGGAGGAGAGAGGGGAATGATTCAGGGTTTGTGAGTGAAACGGGATGGGATGGGATGGGTTGGGTTGGGGTGGGGTGGGGTGGGGTGGCATGGTGAATTAATTTAATTTTATAATATTATTATTAATATTTAAAAGTTGAATTATCATCTAATTTTTGAATAAAATACTTTTAAATTTGATTTTTTAATTGAAAAGTTAAAAATCATGTGTGGATATAATTTCAACGATATTTATCTGATATGAAAATTATCCTTGACAACGCTAATGAAAAAAAAATCAAATAAAGAAAAGGAAAAATGATATAAAAAGTCATTTCCCTCCGTCAGTTATGGCATCATTAACTGACCACGCCTATGAACAATCCTAGAATTGAATACCGTCATCTTGAATAAAATTACCAAACGAGCAACTGCTATTGACTTGATCACTTAGTCCCATCTATCCAGCTATAAGGCAACAATTGAGAATAAAAAGGTCTCAATAGTAATGGACAGAGCTGGTTCCAGTAGTATGTGAGCTAGGCGATCATCTAAAGTTCCGATTTATCAACAATCCTTATTTTCGAAATTTACATGTTTTTGTCTTTTTTATTTATGAAAAATTATGATGGTAATGAATAATATAAAAAAATTAAAGACTCCGAAACAATTTTTTAGTTAGTGAAGATACCATTTCTCTCATGCTCGACTTGGGGAGGTATGAGTACCCGATCTAAGTAAACACTCGCAACTCTATCAGACTGGCCTCCATGCCTACGTAGGTCAAGTACCCCGACCTCTTGGATTGGTCTCCACTCTCCAATCTGTAGTCGAGGTCCGCCACCCTAATTATCGTGTGTCGTTGGACCCTATTTCCTCTTCCCTATAGACTTACAATCCACCATCTCTTCCGTGTTCAACTACACTAGGAGTCCTTGACCATTTGGAATCCAATCCTAGCAGGTCACTATGTGATGATATCTCACCTAGCATTATATAATTTATATATATACTTATTAATTATTCAGATACGCTTTGTAACACCCCGAAAATTTTAGAATAAAAATATTTGTTTTATAAATTTTATTCTATGGTTTTTGAAAGTAGAAGAGCTAAAATAAAGTATCTTTTAAATCCTTATGTTTTAAATGGGCCAAATATTTAACTTCCTATAGAGTGATCAAAAGTATATTAATATTGTGCTCATTTTGTAGCCCGCATTAAATAGTGTTTATTGGGCTCAAGAAAATTTAAGTTCAGATGAGTTAAGCCCAAAA